TTGGGCCATTGGTCAGTGTGTTTTTGAGAAGAAACAGTAATCATTTGTCTCTTTGATGTCCCCTGGAGTCTGGAATGGATGGTTGGGAAGAACTACTTAGGTTTGAAGGACCAAAAATTAAAATTAACGAAAGTTTAAAACCTTGGGCCCTGAAAAGGCAAGTTCTAGTGACTGGGAAGGCCATAGCTGATGCCTGAGCCCTGCTCTCAGAGAAGGGGAGGTGAGTGTCCACCACTTGGGTCACCATTCCTTTTTTTTTTTTTGCTGGTAATGCAGGCCAAGCAGCTGCTCCCCCCAGATATGGAGAACCCCAAGGGAACTGCTGGGTATGTGGATGCAGAGGCCTGAGGTGGAGCTTCCATGAGAACATTCCAGAGGCTTTGGGTATATGGATACAGGGGCTGAGGTGGAGCTTCCATCAGAACAACCACCTTGACTGTTAGTGAGATTTTGGTCACACGCCTTGGGGTCATTTTTGCGTCTCCACAGTTCAGTTTTCTGAGCCTTAGAAGGTCACTTTTTGGTAAAATAGAATCGGGTAAATAAAAACCTGGATAGAGTCGATGCAGACATGTTCCTCAGCTGAACACCACTCAGTGCAGACACTGCAGAGCAATAGAAACACTGCCGAGCGCTCCAGAAGGGAGTCCATCTGGTTGACAGGACTCGTAGAAGAGCTCAGGAAGGGTGTCATTTGGGCGAGCCCTTGCAGAACTAGGGTGATTTCATAAATGAGATGGGAGGACAGAATATTCCAACCCAACACAGTTGCAAGGTCTGGCTGTGGAATCTGTTTCAGACATTCGGGAGGCACGTTTACCACATGTGATGACTTCATACTCGAAGAAGAATGAAAGCACCATAAGAAGGCAGTGGGGAGGATTAGATTTGTCAAGGGTTATGTCAATAGAACCATCAGCAAACCAAAAACAATCTGCAATTGTTGGGCTGTGTGGACCACATTTTTCTTTCATTGCCTTGAAATCAAACCTAGTTAATTCATGGCTGCCCCTCCCCGATTCTCCTTCTACCAAAAAAAAGGAATTACCAATCTTTTGGTGAACTTTCAAGATACTAGATCTAAGTTCTCATTAGATGTCATCACTGTGCATTGTTAATGTTTCTTGTTTACCTCCTCACAAATGTGCCTTTTGCATTAGTAGAGCCAGAACCTGCTCTATAGGTCTGGACATTTTATGTCCCTTATCCTGACTTTCTTTCTGTGGCCTGTTAGAGGTTATAATGCAATGGTTTTAATGAGCAAGGAAGCAAGGAATTCCATACCTGAGGAGACACACCCAAGTTTCAGCCTATTTTTCAGCCTCTAGAGTATCTTTCATGTAAGTATTGTCTTAACAGAGACCACCAGGTCCATTTTTTAATTTTTTTAATTTTTTTTTATTTTTTGGTGGAGTAGGCAGTGTTTGTAGTGAACTGTAGACAACTTAGCTAAATCAGTACTAAGCAATTATAAATTATAATGCGCCATACAGACAAGGTG